TGGCTCAGTGGTAGAGCGCTTGCCTTGCATGCATGAGGCCCTGGGTTCGATTCCTCAGCACCACATAAGCAAAAAGAAAAAAGCCGGAAGTGGCACAAAAAAAAGAAGTACAAACAAATGCTAAACTTAGTGCCAGGGTGAGAAGAAAAAAATTAATAAAGTTGATTGACCCATCAACCATTAATCTCAATCCCTCAAATTAATAACACAGAACTACCCATATGAAAAGTTCAATGCACATACAAGAACATAGAACTGGAAACTAGTATCCCCTCTTTGAGTAACCACTCAATAAATTACAACATGCTGTGATACGATTACTTTAAAAATTATAAAGAAATATTAAAACATTTGTCCAAATTTTTAGAAAAACATAATATGGTCACTGTTCCCACTAACTATATAATTCTGCAAAAACACAAAAAAGAGCAAAATACAAAAGAAAAATGAAAGCCTTTGGATCACTGATATTTTTATGTATTTTGACATCTTTAATCTGTCAAAAATGTGTGTGTGTGTGCGCGCGCGCTCACGCACAAGCATGCCAGTCCTGGAGCTTGAACTAAGGGCCTACATTCTGTACCTGAACTTTTATTTTTTTGCTAGTATTCTTCCACTTGACCCATAGCTCCACTTCAGTCTTTTCTTCTAGTAGTTATTTGAAGATAAAAATCCGTTAAGACTTTCCTGTCCAGGACCAGTTTTGAACTGTAATTCTCAGATGTCAGGCTCCTGAGCAGCTAAGATTGCAGGAGCCAGTCACCAGCACCCAGCTTAATTTGTCCAACTTTTTAATTAAAAAAATTTTTGATTCCACCAGATGTGGTGGCTCACATCTGTGGTAGCTTTGGAAAGATTATGATATGCTAGCCTAAGCAAAAAGTTCACAAGACCCATCTCAACCCAAAAAAGCTGGTCATGGTGACACATGCTTGTCATTCCAGCTATGCAGAAAGGATCAACGGGACTGCAGACTATTCAAGGTGTAACTAAAGCAAAAGGGTGTTAAAATCATATCTCAACTAATAGAGTACCTGCTGAATTCAAAGGAGCTAAATTCAAATACTAATACCACCAAAATATAATAACTGACTCCAAGTCAACTATAGCTTAAGACAGAGTTCGAGAAGATATATTTTTATTAATAGTACCAAAATATTTAGAAAATCATGAATTTTCAAGTAAATTACAAAATGTCCTTTCCCCAATAATTAATAAAAAGGACAGAATACCTACAATGTATGGTTTTTCTACCCCAAATCCAGAGTCAAATAAAAAACTATTTAAACTAAGAACATATGAGCTTTAAAAAACAATGCAGAACCTTT